GCTACCTGAGAGGGCCCTCTGCCGATCGTATGCAGCGAACGTCGGCTTTGGAGGGGAAACTGATGAATTTTCTAGGGCATCCTCGGCAGCCTCGGGGAAGGTGAAAACCTCCTCAGACACCATGTGCGGGTTGGCCTCATAGCTAAAAGGGGTTGAAAAAAAAGGGGTTGATAAGCCGGTGGGAAGTAAAACAGAGTAGAGTGTAGAGCAGAGCAGAGCCAAGGATTGGAGGGTGGATAAACAGGATTGTGGATAGAGCGTGCACATTCGCGTGGGCAATAGCTCACACCGAGAGCATTCTGTACCGTATAGCTTTCCATGCGAGAAAAAAAGACATTCCTACGGTCAACACCAGCAGTGATGACCTGCTGGATAGTTGTATGCAAGAGAAAGGCAGGTAGGACCAACGGTATTCGCGTGCCTAAATTTTATCCCGTGGCAATCTGACTGTTTGACATATAAAAGTGATGATATAGTGTGACCGTCGATTCTGATTAAATCCACCATGTGCTCAGGAGCAGGGACGGTGACTGGACACTGTGACGAGAGTTCAGTGAAATAGACGTGCAACTGTCTATCTCACTCTATATCCTCTCCCGACTTGAACCGGTGACAAGAGAAAAGTCAAGATGACCGAGCAAGATGACCGTAGGCCCCTTTCACCCAATGCAGGCCAGCACACCGCCTAACTTAGTCTTCAGTGGCAGTAGTCTTTTGCGCTAGTACTACCGCACTATTTACCCTCACTCCCCTTCAGTAGGTGTCAAACCAGACTCAACGAAATCAAGGCTGGTAGTGCTACTACCGCTACTACTATTTCTACAACTACAAGCTAGGGATGTGGTTGAGTGATGGTATTGCTAGTACTATTTCTGGCTCCATTATTAGTCAGAAGTGATGCCGATTAAAGTCAGCACTGGGCTCATGTCTCCTCAATCTCAACAAGAAGTGTAGTAGTGCTGGTACTAGCACTGACGTTGCCATTTGTCAAAAGTGACGCTGATCAAAGCCAACGCTGGGGCTCACACCT